GGCAAAACCAGTCAAGTGGCCCATTGCACCACCAAATCAGTTCACCATCCATGCCCACCTTTTCCTGGTTTTATAACGGATATTGATGTTTTGCCAATCAGTAGCTCTTTGCCATACCCACTCCTTCACGGCTCTGACTTTCAATGTTGTCAGAGCGCAGTGTGAACTTCCTGTTAGTCTGGCCGGGCACAGGAGACAGATGCTCCCTCTACCCGCGGACCATACAGAGCTCGGGCACGCTACAGTGAGGGAGTGACAGGAGGGAGCGCTAAGCGCTTCCCTCCTGTCAGCCCCTCTTCTCATGCTGCGCCCGTGCGGTGCGCCCTCATGGACGCACCAGCCCGGGCAAAGCTGCAGCCGCCTAACAGAAGGAGGGGGGGTAGTAACAGAAGGAGGGGGGAGTAAGAAGAAGAAGGGGGGAGTAGTAAGAAGAAGAAGGGGGGAGTAGTAAGAAGAAGAAGGGGGGAGTAGTAAGAAGAAGAAGGGGGGAGTAGTAAGAAGAAGAAGAAGGGGGTAAGAAGAAGAAGGGGAGGGGAGTAAGAAGAACGGGGGGGAGTAACAGAAGGAGGGGCACCGCGGACCGAAGAGGAGCTCTGCCACGCTACAGGGAAGGAGAGAAGCTCAGGTGGCTGCAGCATTAGGATCGGCCCTGCAGCGGACGGTTTTAAAAGGATTTAGGGCGGCCTGGGGGGCAATTGCCTCCCTGCCCCCCGGCCCAGCCCGCCCCTGGCATGTATATTATATTATATACACATATGTGTGTCAGGGCCGGATTAACATAGGGGCTGATGGAGCTGCAGCTCCAGGCCCAGGCCCATGGAATAGGCCCATTGATTTAAAAAAAATAAATAAAAAATAAAAATTATTATTTTACACACACAACTCTTAGGGTTGCTAGGTATTTCTCAGAAGTATTTCTTAGGTATTTGAGGCTGCCTAGCCAGTGCCGGTATTGCAGTAATACCGGCAATACAAATGTCTCAGTATAAACAGAGATTATTCTGCAATACCAGTAGGGGTCGCTGTTTGTGTGGAGAGAGGCAGGATAAGAAGTTACAGCATTTCCCTCCCTGCCTCTCTGTAATCTGCACAGAGAGTCCAGACAGCAGCTCCAAGCCTGCGAGACATGGGGACGGTGAAAGACTTGGGGACACTGGGGAACATGGGGACCCTGAGACACTAGGGACACAGTGGCCCCTAGTCTCTCAGTGTCCCCATGTCTCCCAGCCAGTGTCCCTAGTTTCTCAGTGTTCCCATGTCTCCGGTGTCTTTCAGTGTCCCTAGTGTCTGTGTCCCTAGTCTCCCAGAGTCCCCATGTCTCTCAGTGTCCCCTAGTGACATCGGGACACTGGGAGACCTGGGGACACAGACTCCAAGGGACACTGGAAGACATGGGGATACAAACACTAGGGGACACTGAGACACTAGGAGACACAGAGACATGGGGACACTGGGGGACACAGGGAGACGTTGAGACCTGGGAGACATAGGGCACTCCCAGTGTCCCCATGTCTCCCAGCCAGTGTCCCCAGTATCCCCATGTATCCGAGTGTCCCTGGTGTCTCTCAATGTCCATAGTGTGCCAGTGTCCCTAGTGTCTCAGTGTTTCCTAGTCTCCCAAAGTCCCCTAGTCTCCCAGTGTCTCAGTGTCCCAATGTCTCCCAGTGTCCCCATGTCTTCTAGTGTCTCAGTGTCCTCTTGTATAAAAGAAAAAATCTCAGGCACTCACTGTGATAGATTTACCCCTTAAGGACAGATGACATGTGTGACATGTCATGATTCCCTTTTATTCCAGAAGTTTGGTCCTTAAAGGGTTAAGCAGGTTTATTCGACACCACAACGTTTCGACCTGTACCCAGGTCTTAATCAAGTCTCCAGTGTCCCCTATGTATCACAGTATCCCCTATGTATCAGAGTGTCTCGGTGCCCCATGTCTCCCAGTGTCCCTGGTGCCTCTGTTTCCATAGTGTCTCAGTGTCTTTAGAGTCTCAGTGTCCCCTAGTCTCTCAGAATCCCCTAGTCTCCCAGTGCCCCCAAGTGTCTCAGTGTCCCCTAGTATAAAATAAAAAAATCTCAGGCACTCACTGTGATAGATTTAAGCAGGTTTATTGGACACCACAACGTTTTGACCTGTACCCAGGTCTTTATCAAGTCTCCAGTGTCCCCTATATATCACAGTGTTCCCTATGTATCACAGTGTCTCAGTGCCCCATGTCTCCCAGTGTCCCCTTGTGTCTCAAAGTCACCCAGTGTCCCCCAGTGTTCCCTAGTATCTCAGTATCTCCCAGTGTCCCCTAGTGTCCAAGTGACATGGGGACACAGACATGCCCCCTTTTTGTGTATGTTGGCCCCTTTTGGCAGTTCTGGTTATGTGATTTGTGTCAGTGGCCCACCTTTTTACCCCATCCATAGACTTCCTGCTTTACTGGATACTGCTGTTAGGGGGTACTGGTTTACTTGAAAGATGAAAGTGTGAGATTAGCATAGTATGTGTTTTCTCATAGCTGCATCTTATGAGTTTCCCTCCAGCACCATCTCCATCACATACATGACGCTCAGGTGGTAGTACTGTTTTAGTGTTTTTTGTCAATAAGATTTTGTAATTAGGCCCATCATAATTGTCAGCACCAGGCCCACTGGGCTCTTAATCTGGCATGATGTGTGTGTAATACCGTAATATTCTATAAACATACACACACTTATATAATACACACACACACATATATATATATATATACATACATACATACACACACACATATATATACTCATACACATACATATATATATACACATACACACATACACACACACATATATATATATATATCAAAACAATAAATAAGGCAAGGCACTCCTCCTCCATGCAAGAATTATATGAATGCCCAGGTGCAATCCCGCGTTATATATATCAGAAAATGCAGTCCAGGGAGCACACTGGGTCTTGAAGTTAGTGTAGAAAAAATTATTTAATGTATCCTAAAAAATACATCAGCTGTGAGGTACACACCGATCAACGTTTCGACCCTCCTGGGGTCTTTACCAAGATCACAAATGTATTTTTTAGGATACATTCAGGGTCGTCTTTAATATTGATTGGACCCTGGGCAAGCATCTGCTTGGGCCCCCTGAGCATGCAATCACTCCCTCCACCCCAACCTAGAGGCGAAACTAATGTAGAGAGTGCCTTGGTGCAAAAAAATAATAATTCATGCCTGCCCTGTAGCACAAGAGTAAAGAAAAGATAGATCCCCATCTGTCATACAACTCCTGCGATGCTATGCCAGGTGGGGATCTACCATCCTTGCAGGGTTGTATTTTTGAGCAGTGTTTGTGCAATTGAATGTCAGCATGTTATTGTATAGAGTGTATGTGTGCATGTAGGGGTGTATTTGTATGTACTGTTACCATTGGAATGCAGTGGTGTACTTGTGTGTAGTGTTTGCGTTTGAATACAGTAATGTGTGATTGTCTGTAGTGTTGGCTTTTAAATGCAGGTGTACTTTTGTGTGTAGAGTTGGTGTTTGTATATAATTTTAGCGTTTTAATACAGGAATGTGTTTGTATGTAATGTTTGTATTTGCATGCAGGGGGTTGTTTGGATGTAGTGTTGTGTACATTTGTGTGTAGTATTGGTGTTTCAGCAAACTGGTGTGTTTGTATGTAATGTTTGTGTTTGCAGGGCTCTGTTTGCATGTTGTGTGATTTCTATAACACATATACACATACACATTAACACGCAGATACACACATAGGCACACTGACACATGCTCACACCTTGGCACATACTGGCACATACACACACACCCTTTGACACACAGATACAAGCACTTTGATACACACACACACTGGCACATCCACACACAGAGGTACACACACACACTGACACAGGTATGTACACACACACTCAGATACACACATACATAAAGGTATAAATGCAGGGGTGTATATGTGTACAGTGCTAGAGATGTAGTGTATTTGTGTTGGCATTAAAATGCTGGGATGTATGCATTACCACACACTCAGATGCACACTTACACACACTGACACATACACACACACACAGGTACACATACACAGGTATACATACACACAGAAACACTGACACACAGACAAACACAGCCAGATACAAACACTGACACAAACACAGCCAGATACACACACTGACATAAACACAGCCAGATACACACACACATATATGTGTACATTTACATATTTTAATCTCTGCCTTCTAGCAGCTCTTGGACAGCAACTCCCAGCAACCTTGGCCATAATAATGTCTCAACTCTGTTCTTACATACCCTGGTCCAGAATTTGGCAAAAGTGACATTTGGAAATGGTATACAGCCTTTGATAACACTTGATGCAATAATATGTTAAAATAAATACTTTAAAAATTTATATTTAATAGGGAACTGTCAGGTTCTTCTAGGATTTTTAACATGTACTTATTCCCTGTGTGTTACATTACAAACACCAACACTTGAATAAAAGTGATATCAGAAATAAGCAAAACAAAAAAAACAAAACATATTTAGCCACCCTCCTGTCTCCTTACCTTTTGGGTATAGAAAGGTGGCTTCCCTGGGGTCCAGTGGGAGCTTGTTGGCCCAGGCTGATGGGAGTCTGCCATCAGCTTTCTCAGTCCCTCTCCCCAACAATGCTTGCATCCTCCTCCGTGTGTTGTTTGCCTCCTCCCCAGCGGCACTGAGGAGGAAGTGATCTGACCTCACTTCCTCCCAGCATGCCACGGAGAAGAAAAGGGATCACAGTGCAGTGTGTGAGGGGCTAGCTGTGTGTTTGTATTCAGCCAACCCCCATATTACAAGGGCCCAGTCCAGAGCAGTATTAAAAGGCTGTGGCCCCTGATTACCTCAGGTGCTGCAGGGGGCCCATGGGGCAGCTGCCTTAGGGCCCCCAGGAGTAACTGGGCCCGGGGCAGCTGCCCCTTTTGCCCCTCCTTAAAGACGGCCCTGGATACATTAAATAATTTTTTCTACACTAACTTCAAGACCCAGTGTGCTCCCTGGACTGCATTTTCTGATTTTATATATATATATATATATATATATATATAAAATCTGAAAATGCAGTCCAGGGAGCACACTGGGTCTTGAAGTTAGTGTAGAAAAAATTATTTAATGTATCCTAAAAAATACATCAGCTGTGAGGTACACACCGATCAACGTTTCGACCCTCCTGGGGTCTTTATCTTTATTTTTTAGGATACATTAAATAATTTTTTCTACACTAATTTCAAGACCCAGTGTGCTCCCTGGACTGCATTTTCTGATATAGATATATATATATATATATATATATATATATATATACACATACATATATATTTATATTAGATTAGCCGTATTAGTCCAGTAGAGAAGATGCCAATATACCAGAGTATTGCAGTATGCAATGATACCTTTCTTTTTGGACTAACATAATATTTCAAAGACATGCTTTCTAGAGCTTCCTCTCTTCTTCAGGTCTGAAGCAATCCTGATTGATCAGTATTGCTTCAGACCTGAGGAAGAGAGGAAACTCTTGAAAGCCTCTCTTTGAAATATTATGTTAGTCCAATAAAAAAGGTATCATTCCATACTGCAATACTCTGGTATATTGGCATCTTCTCTACTGGACTAATACGGCTAATCTAATATAAATATGTATGTATATATATATATGTGTATGTGTATATGTGTATATATATGTATATGTGTATGTGTGTGTGTATATATATATATATATATATATATATATATATATATATATATATATGTATGTGTATGTATGTGTGTATATATATAATATGTGTGTATATATATATATATATATATATATATATAATATAAATATGTGTATTATATAAGTGTGTGTATGTTTATAGAATATTACGGTATTACACACACATCAGGGCCAGATTAAGAGCCCAGTGGGCCTGGTCCTGACAATTATGATGGGCCTAATTACAAAATCTTATAAGGTATCTAAAAAGGTATCATTGCATACTGCAATACTTTGGTATTTTGGCATCATATATAAAAAGGCTTAGCCTGTAATTGTGGGAGGGGTTACGTGGCTATATAAGCTCAGTCCCCCTCCATATCAGTACCCTCACCGCTGGGTTCATTTAGAACCTCTGACTTCCGGTTTTGGTTTACGCTGGTCCAGATACCCACCTTACCTTACTCCGACTAAGCCTGACCGCCAGTTCCGGTCACCCAGCAAACAGATCAAACTGCGGAACTCTCACTTCTCCTCGACTTCCGGGGTACAGCTCAGGGTCCTGTTCGTTTACACGGCATTCATGCCAAACACACAGAATTCACCCATACGAACTTGTCCGTTTGGGACCACACACCATGCATGTATACTGACTGTTCTGGTGCTAACCTTCGTACGCAGGTCGTCAAGCCGGTCATTCGTCATACGAACAAGTCATTCAAAACAAACACTCTCTATACATGCGGTCGCTCCACTACGACCTCTAGCGGCCAAATTACATAATGACAACAGTTAAAAATATTACTACTATTCATTTACATTGTATTCTTCCATTTCTCTTGTTCTCATTAAAACGTATGTCACTCATATTATGTTTGCAATCAGGACCCCGTTAGCATCACAATACGGTAGAAATAATGTTTGAAAAAGTAATTGCACTATGGTTAGATATTTAAAATTATCCATCTGCTCTGTTACTTTATACAATACGAAATTTACATCTCGTACCTTTGGCAGTTACTAAATACTCTAATTACCTGTCCCCCAGGCTTGGTAATCACCAAAACCATATGACTTCTCGCAGTCGCACTTGACTGCCTCAGTTCAACAATATACCATTAAAGACGTATTTCTGTTTCCTTTCATACGGTATGGATATTCATGTGCAATTATTATCTTTTTTTTTTGTATTAATTATTTTATGCATACCTCAGTTGTCTCATCTGTCCCCTACATATAGTTTTTCATTTCCAGTTCAAACATCACTACTGGTCACCAACATCAATTTCATTGGCCACACTCCAAGTAAATTGCAAGCTCCCTCACCCCTTCCCCTATTTTTTTTTTCAATTTCGAAGTAAACAACTCTACCACACTCAAGCGTATCCCTCACCGTAATGTCCAATTCCCTCCTTCGTATTTACTTGAGTGACCACATGTTCCCTCACATTCTCATCCATACTCTATTTCAGGCCTTTGTTACCATCACTACTCTCCCCCAGAACTTTGGGGATTCATTGGATTCTTAACCCCAGCACGTTACAGGTATATCAAATATCACCTCATCTCTTGTCTTTATACCCTACCTTATAGAGGATAACTATAGTTTTATCCTCAGATAACCACTACTAGCAATTCCCCGACAGAACCACTGTCATCAGATCCACAGGTGAGTTTTACTCACATATAAAAACAAACAAAAAAAAACTTGTAGGCCCAATCCAGACTTAACCATCCACATTTTCTTCTCATGTTCTCAAGTATTTATCACTCTCCATAGAGAACCCTTATGATTTCACAAACTAGGTATGTCTCCATTTTACATCCTACTCTCAATACCCCAACAGACTAGGGTTGGTCAACTGGTGGTTATTACTAACATTCGTCCCTAGCTTACTGTAATTAATCTACTCCCGTGAGGCCAACACCCATCCTCATCGGAGGTATACCCCCCTCTGTCCAACGCATAGCTAGAGCCTCACATTAACCACTGTAGGTTACTAGTTAGGGCCTCACCAGTCACACCCAATTATATTATGTCTTGTTACAGTTACCGAGAAGCCAACAGTCCAGCCACATAATTCAGTGGTCCCCGCCCACTCGGCCCTTCTCATAGATTGGCACTAGCAGGGCTCCATCTTCCTTGTAGGTCAGATAATTAGGCTTAGCTAGAGCCAGTTGACACAGGCATTTCGCTCACAACTAAAGGCCATATCCTTACCCATGTTTTCATTCTTAGTATGTCTCAAATACCTGAACAAGAAGAGGAACTGGCCATACCAGAAACCCCAGCAAGGCCTTCCACCCAAGCCGGTCAAAGCACCCCTACCTAGAACCTGGAAGCATCCAACCCGTATTCCCTGCGGTCATGGACTATCCCTAAGCTAGTGGCTGAATTACGTCGCATGGTGGTCCCGTTCCCAGCTACAGCCCGCGAGGCTGAACGCTATAAAATATTAATTTCCAATACGTGTCCTCCCCAGCCTGGAGTTGTCCTGCAACCCGACAACTATACCGAGATCAACGGTTTAATGTCATCTGTCCTTGCCTCTATTAATACAATCAGCATTAGGCTGGACAAATTGGAATCACCTCAGACATCAACAGTCGTCCCACCCATATTGATTCCCCACTCCAGCTCCATCCCACGGTAATGACACCACCATAAACCCAATACCAAGCAGTTCTACTCACATCATCACGCCCGCCCACTTTGTATCCACGACCATTCGTAAAGACATCCTGGAAGGCAAGGACATAAACCTAGTTTCTTTGCTAATTGCTTCTCAGGACGTGGTGGAGAACAAGGCATACTGCTATGACGATCTTTCGGTTGTGTCGAAAGCCAGAGACCCCAGACTCAACCAAAAGCTTACCATACCCGAATTTGTCCTTGCTTCTGGCCTTTATCGTGATGTAATCTGTTCCACTTCCCCCCACCATAGGGAGGAGTTGGATTTGTACATGCACAAGTTGGTGGACCTAGGGCACAAGTATGGGGGGTTCTCTTTTTATGACTATCATAAATCTTTTTCGGCTAAAGCAGCGGCATCCCTCACCCACTTTAATACCCACACCCCCACAGCAACTGGAGTAAGCTTGACACAGACATTTTCTGTCGCCATTTTGCCAGTCAAAAACCACCGTCTTGTGCCTTGTGTGCCTCCATTTCACACTACACCAACTTGTGCCCAGTCGATCCTAGTTTTCCTACCACTAGTCGTGCTTCCTTCGGTTCTTCCACTGCTGAACACAGAGGACTGAAAGACAGTTGGGTAGACCCATAGTATACCTGGGGAAAGCTCAAATCTGCAACAACTTTAATTCTGGCAGTTGTGGATTTAGCTTGTGCAGATTGTTGCGCGTCTGCTCAATTTGTTTCAGGGCACGAAGGCACGCACAAAATCTATGTGTGCTAATTGTCTGTACCAAAAACAATGACTAACCAAAGTTAGCATTGACAACCTGGCGTTTTACCTCCAGGCACACCCTGTCCATCACCTAGTCGACTTCTTGGTAAAAGGGTTCACTGGCAGTTTCCACACTGGCCTTGTCAAACTCCCCACTGGTATTCACGAATGTCCTTATCTACCGTGTACCCTTCTTGACCCCATCAGCACAGAATGACTGATTATGAAAGAATTGAACAACAGGTTCATATTAGGCCCTTTTCCTAACCCCTCCTTTTCCAGCTGGCGTACAAACCCAATAGGTATAGCCACTGGAAAGTTCAACAATAAAAAAAGGCTAATCTACGATTTGTCGGCTCCACATTCTTTATCTACCCCCAGCATTAATTCACTAATTCCCCCTGAAGAGTTCTCCCAGCAATACGCCACAGTGGATGATGCCATTGTAAGGGCTGGTGTAGGAGCTTGGTTAGGGCAAACCGATGTTTCCAACGCATTCAAGCTCCTACTCATTCATCCATCCCTGTGGCATGTGCACGGCATTCGTTGGTGAAATAAGTACTACTTTGCAACTGGTTTAACCTTTGGGGCTAAAAGCAGTCAAAAATGTTTGATATTTTTGTCGACATGTTATATTGGCTGCTCCTCAACATTGGCGAATGCTCCTCAATCCTACATTATTTGGATGACTTTCTTACCATAGAATCGCCTCGGTCCTCTCCCGCCAGTATTCACAAAACTCTGGCTCTATTTTCAGCATTAGGGGTTCCGCTGTCACAGAAGAAAACAATAGGCCCTGCGATCAATCTGACCTTTCTGGGTATCCACCTAGACACTGTCTTATTACAAGCTAGTTTACCAATAGAGAAGGTACAGCAGATCATAGAATTGATGGAGTGCTTTCTGGCTAAGGACACATGTACCAGAACAGACCTACAATTCGTACTGGGCACGTTGAAAGCCATGAAAATTATTCCACAAGGCTGGTTT